TTTTTTTTTTAATACAAGGACACTTTCACAAGATTTCCGCCAGGAATCAAATAGTGCGATCTGATTATGGTCAAAAGATCAAATTTTTTCTTTCTTTATTGCTTCTCTTCCAGCTATTTAAGAAAATGTTTAGGCCATAGTCTTTTCATCAATCTTTGTTCCCATAATTGTGTAGTAGCAATTATTAAATATTTTGACTTCTGGCACAGGGTTCACCCAATTCAAAACAATGTTTCATCTTCAGCAGTTGCTCAGGTTTTCCAAGTCCACTGGCCATGTCTAGTACAAACCATACCACAGTCAAACCCTCATGTGAGACCACCTGACTCGTGACTGACCACCTAAACTATATAAAAGCGACCAATAATCATCCAAAACACAAAATTTTCCACGTCAAAGCCTTGGAACCCCTTTGAAAGTGACTGCCATCACTTTTTGTGCTGATGTTTATATAATTTTGCATTGTTTTTAACCTCTTCTAAGCCACCACTAGATGCATGGTCTTATCTCTTTGCTTGCTGTATGTACTACTCCACTCACAATTATAATATGATTACTTTCAGTGATAACATGGAACTACACATATCATAGCTTTGACAATGCATGCAATTAATTCTTTTCCAAATAGTAGATGTGTCAGGACTATAATATTCCGTTGACCAAAGACGCCAAATAGAGCAAATAGGAAGGTAGAATTGTATTTTAATTTCACATACAATAATATTCTATCTAAAATTAAGTAAACATGTCTGCTGGCACTTGGCCTTACAATGTAGAAAATAAACAGAAAGTAACCTAATACAGCAACAAAATTGACTTAACACTTTCTTGTATGACTGCCTCTGTTTTTAGACAAAACAGTTCACATTTACAAAATCTGGTTTTCCAGTTAACAACTTCTATTATCTGGTTAGTAACTTCTGGTTATCAATAATTGGGTAGCAACTGGTCGGCTTGAAATTCCAGTTTATCAACTGAACTAAACCCCTCACTCCACGACTTTAAATAGAAATGGCTGGCATTAATAAATGACAGTAACATTTTGAATTTAAACAAAGTGTGAGCAGCATAAACTAAGACAGCAAGCGTGTGGCCCACATTTGAGTCAAATAGTTGAATTGACTGTTCGTCAGAACTAGGAGCTCTTCCCAGAAGAGATCCCCGTGGGTTGAATCTTGTGAGTGACCACCTCTCAAAGGCGACCACTAAATCTTTACATTTTGGGTGGTTGCTTACAGGAGGTTCAACTGCAGCAAAGATGGATCAGACCATGAGGATACTTAGCTTTTTACCTCACAAAGAGATGTACATGTGACTGAAAGGCAACCTTGTTTTTGTGAGGGCCCGCATCCAAGTGCTGCTAAAAAGCACATGGTGGAAAATGTATACTTAAAACAGCATAGAATATCATGTGACTAACATTTCTGAATTGTGAATGAATATTTTATAACCCTTAGATTTGGCACACAAGATTAAAACAACCAACACCACTTTTTCTGAAGGTTGAGCGTTTTAAAATTCCAATTCTACAGTGCAGATTTACTAATGATGTAGCAGTGGAATATGGTATTACCTGGGAGGTCCAATAAGATGATTTCACTTGGCCCCATGGGCCGTTTCAAGACATCCTATAGCACTAAATGTGGTAGGTGTAACTGCAAAAAAATAAAAACAGCTGAATAAATTATCAAACAATTTGACTTTTTTTAAAACTTGAAGTACTGTATTAATATTGCCCATACCATGCAAACATGAACATACATAAATGTGCATGTTTTCAACCCTCAAAGTTAAAATTTTTGTTCAGTGGCCATTTGGCGATCAGCTCTTTGGGTTTAGTCGCCAGGGGAAATTTTTAGGTGCCAAATTATATTAATAAATTAATATATCAAAATTGTCCTTAACAAAAGCAGTTAGCAAGTTTAACTTAAAATGCAGCACTGTCTATAAATTACTCATTTATTGTGCAAGGCATTATGTTACTGATAGTTTGAGAATAAGGTTTGCAGATTCATCTCCTTGAATCAATACTGAAACGGAATTGTAAAGACAATTACCATTTCCAGTTGTCTTTAGGGCCTTCAATCCTTCTGTATAATCCCCAGTTGGTATATGAGAGCAGAACTTAACTCATCCTCTGTTAATGTGTTCAAAATTTCCCAGTCGCAACTTGATAGGCGACCTTTTTTTTTTTTTTTTTTTTTGATATTTGCTTCGCATATCTTTTGCGACTTTTGTTGATGATGAACTTGTTTCCCCAACTAACAAATATTTTTGGAGATTTAAAAGGGCGTTTTTAATATCGCTAGACATTGCGAAAGCCTGACAAAGGCAGGAGAGTATAGGAAGATCGACAAGTTTTCTTAATCAAATTATTGCTTTATAGAGATAACGTCGCGCACGTGAAAATATTTCGCAACGAGTTGTACTGGGAAAAAATGATTTTCCCAATCAATTGAAAGGAACCCAAACAAAAATGCCGCTTACGAAATAATAAATTTTCTTTTTCCTTTATCATCGCTACAGGTGTTTAAAAAAAAACATTTTTTGCAACAACCATAAGCTGTCAGTTTTGCGATGTTTAGTTTCGCTTACAATTATCGCTTTTGTTTACAAAACCGCGATTCAAATCGCAGCACGGTTCACATGTTACGGTTATCACATAATGTTCTGTGTTGAATTTGCACCAATTTAGCTCTCCCTCTTCATGTTATTAGATTGTTTCAGTATTGATTCAAAAATATTTATAATATGTAGTCCAGTTAAAAAACCACCGAGCTTGGCTAGACAAGCATTCCTAAGATATCGAAGAAATCGTCACTGTCGACAAGCAAGGCGCTTCGATTGCGTACCATTTGTCACGTGTCAAAAGTTAAAATGTCACGTGCAAGGCAACAGACTGAAGGCGATTAGGCGAACGAATGCAAGTCAAGTTTCATTGATGTTCCTTTTCAAAACGCTTAGCTCTGGGACTTTTTTAAGTTTTCAGTTTATTATATAGAATGTTTTTCAACGGAAAAGTAAAAAAGTAATTGAATTCAAATCAGCTAGAATAAATGTTCTTCATATTTCAGTAGAAGTGATTACCATTTCTGTTTCTATACGCCACAACACGAACCTATTCTTCACAGTCGCCAGCTTGGCAACTATTCTCCAAATCAAGTCGCCAGTTCCAAAATTTTAGGCGCCATGGCGACTAAAATGGTCGCAACTTGGAGGGTTGGTTTTATAGTGTAAAATAGCAAAATTTATCACCATTATTATTCAATCAAGATATTTCTCCAATTATGATTGGTTTAAATTCCCCAGCTAATTCAGTCCCTGACCAAATTTGGAAGATCTTTGCTAATACCAACACAAAGAGGGACACATGTCGGCAGCAGTCACACAGAGGTCACGCTGAGGTATGAATAGAATAACCAAAGGAGTAACAGCATTACCAAAACTTTAGCTGATACTTATTTGAACACATAAATTACAAAATTTGAAAATTATATGAGTGCCCCGAAATTCTACCATTGAATTAAAAGCACACATTTCTTCACAGATTGCTTCGTCGATTCTGATTTTCCAAGCATTTAAGGTTGAGATTTTGAATTTTGAGTAGCTGACTCCTCTGAGCAAAGTTGGCGACATGAAGTCATGAGTGCTTTTGAAACCTCTGGTAAATGAAGTAAATTCAAGTGCAGGAAAGTAAAGTGAAGCAAAGCAAGGTAAACAAAGCCAAGTAATGTAAAGTCTAGCAGAAACTACTTACAGATGATCGATAAATAATAGCTTTTTTACATTCTCTGACTTTTCAGGCTGTCAAATGAAAGTATCAGGAAACTATTAGTAGGAAGAAAAAATTAAAAAAATAATATTGAGATAAGAAAACGAGTCATAGTTATCATTACAAAACAGTTCTGTTTGAGATCAAGAGTATAGTAATTGTGTTGATGGGGAAATTATAGGTGATTGTTGTCCGCATAAACCCTAAGATCAAAATTTGAATTCACATTTGTTGATCCTATTCATTTCCTACAGAAGTAGTGGGGAGAAGTTAACAAAATATCAAGCAAATTCATCTTGTGTGATCACGTCTGTAATTCTCATGACCACTCTGTTACAAAGCATTGATATTACAAGGAGAAATTTGATGCTGATCACTCTTAGGGCTTAAAGGGTTAGAGGATGTCCATTATAAAGTGGGTGAATTTAGAGAAAATGTGAGGGCTTTCTAAAAAGGCAAAGAAAATTGTCCACAATCAGGGGGGGGTGGTGAACTTGGTAGTTTGTTTGTCCTGACGATCTTGGCCATCCTGACGTCACGAAGAGAGAAGCGCGCAACTTCGAGGATTTTTCGAAAATGGCGCCGTTGCCATTTCCAAACGCCACTTTTAAAGTTGGTTTTCCTGGATATTGACGCACCAAAATGGTTTTTGTCACGGTAGGATAGTGCAGTTCCAACATCTCTTTCCGAGAAGGTGAGTGAAATGTGTATTAATCCGAAAAATAACGCGTTTGAGAGCTGTAAACAGTTTCGGTCAATTTCCTCGAGTGCAATAATGTGCCGCAAAAGTTTGCATGTTCGCACAGTAATATCGCATTTTCTCGAAATCGGTGAGGTGTTGAACATCGAAACTTGGCATAAGGGTGGGTTACTTCTATTGGAAAGCATTGTCTCTGAAGTTAATTGAGATAAACTGGCAGAAAAAATGATCAGTCCATTCGAGTGTGCCAGTGTAGCCGCTAAGGTAGAGGGAGAACTGATGCAATTGTATTCATTACTTTGCTGTTATCTCCAATAATGCCAATAGTATCACCTATTCAAGCTGTCTTTTCGGGATAAGTAAATTTTAAAGTAGTTTCTGATAGAGGGAAAGTGTAGTTGCAACAGCTCTTTCCGAGAAGGAGAGTTAATTGTATTATATTCTGTTGATAATTACCTCGTAAACAGTTTAAGCCAATTTTTTCAAGTGGAATATTTGTCGCAGAAATTTGCATGATTGCATATTAACATTGCATGTTTTAGAAAATCGGTTTGGTGTGGAAATTCAAAACTTGGTAGAAGGGTAGGTCAGCAATAGTGGAAAACATTGTCCTTGATGTTTAATGGGAGAAATTAGCAGTAAAAATGATCAGTCCATTCGAGTGCGCTTAATATTGATATAAACAGATGACCTCGACTCGGTTACCCCGGCACAATGTAAGTCAATTATTCTTCGGTGTTAAGAAAAAGGAAACCAAAGACTTCCCTCAACACTATGTATCTATAATAATTACACCAGGAATATATATATTTTTAACACTTGAAGGTTGTACAATCTTGTTGAAGCAAAGGATATTTCTCTGTAATACCTATAAGCTTACATTAAGTAGCAAAAAAAAAAATTAATAACATTTACATACAGCTCCAAACATGTCCATCTGTTATGCATGAAGCAATTTAATATCGTTCCATATCAATAGTTAGTGCGAATGGAGTCAAACATGTACAGTGAAACTTGTATAATTTAAGCGGACACCTCAGAGAATGCTGTAGTGCCCACTTGATACAAAGTTTCTTCCTACTACATACAGGTTTCGATAGAAAAGGTCATATGAGGCAGACCTGCCAACTCTCACAATTCTGCCGTGAGTCTCACGATTTTTTAACTTTTCTCATGGTCTCACGACAAGACTCCCAATCTCATGGTTTTCTGGGAAATATTCTAAATTGAAATATTACCTTGTTGAATAAAACATAAATTTTGTGGGGAAATTCTTGTGCCTGGATAAGCTTTGACTATTTTAGCCATGAAGTTGTCTTAGCCCAAAGAAATGACTCTGCTGTATGTTTCGTCAGGCAGCGATAACCTATTTTCTGGCCTCTTAAAGTCATCAAAGAAAAAGCGGCATCTAATTTGTTACATAAGGGACCACACTACAGCAAGGTTAACAGTTGATTCCCCTAATGGAAAAGGGGCCGTTTAATTTTGATCGGGAAAAAATAGAATTTCACTACTTTTTGTGGAATCTCCTGATTTTTTTTCATGAGTCTACAGATTTTCCTTTAACAGAGGTTGGCAGGTCTGTATGAGGAGCTAAGTACCATTCAAATAAAAGGCGGAAACATTTGGAATACTTCCAGAGATATGATGATATACATTTGCATTAATATCTTTATTTGTGCGGAGCAATTAATTAAACCTAGATTGTACCTCAAATTTTAAGATATCAAATGAGTGAAACAAGCTTTATACAAACAAAAATGAGATGAGAAAGTACTGTAACTCATTTATATAATTTACAGAAGTCCCCTGGTGCCACCAGCCAAGTGCTGATAGGGCAAGACTCCCAATCTCATGGTTTTCTGGGAAAGCAAAAGGCATCTTAAAATAACAAAAAGGCACATAGGGCTCAGCCGAATGGTACCATAATGACGTCAACACGTATGGAAACAGGCCTTTTCTCCGAAACCCGCCCCATTCCCCTATGGCTATTTTTATTTGCGTTTACCCTACCTCACCTCCCTTCCCCATACCTGATGAAACAAGGCTTTCAACAGTTTGTTGAGATAGGATGCTTTTTGTTTTAAAGGATGAGCTCATCATATTTTATTATCGTAGAGACAGGGGCAAGATAAGTTAACAATAATAGACAGATTATTATAGGTGGGTTACTCATTTTTACAGCTATCCCTGGAAGAAGAAATAGAAGTAAGGAGCTGACTGGCAGCCACTGAGATTGAGGAGAGGAGAAAGGAAATTGAAAGAGAAGAGAAAGAGTTGAAAGGAAAAGAAGAAAGGTTAAAAGAAAAAGCAAAAGAAATTAAAAACACAGTAACAGAGGCCAAGCGGGTAGCTGCCCAACTGCAACTAAAGGCAGGGCAGCTAGACTGCTTGGCTAACCAAATTCTAGAAGAAATCAAAAAGGTAAAGAAAAAGTAAAAGAAAAACACCAGTGTAAGAAAATTTTATTGATAACAAACCGTTTCTTTTAATCAAAGTCAATGTGCAAAGTTTTTAAATGCAAACAAGTCTAAGTCGGACCTGTTATGCAAGAAAGAAAATACATTTGTTCAGTATATAAAAAATAAAAGGAAACTGGTTCTTCTAATTTCTTGTATCCTGTATGGTCTCTTCTTGCTCCAGGGAATCCACTCCATCTAACATCCTCCACTTCCCACACCGCACTACTCTCTTCATGGAATCTATTATACTAGATCTTTACAGACATCCAGTAAGCAGCACCTCCTCCATCATACACTGCATGTTTTTCTCTCATCATCTACAGAGTATTCCCAACCAAGGAAGCACCTAATTATAAAATCAGTCAGATAAAAAGAGATTATTATACATACAAAAGTCAAAACTAACTAAATAAATAAAGGCAATATTATCACTTAAAATCCCTAATTATTTGTTAAGCATCTCTTAAATCAGATATTATAATGGTTTTCCTCACCTACTCCCTAAACTTCACATTAATATAGGTGAGTTAAACCACAAACACCCGCCCCCCCCCCGAAGCAATGGTAAAAAAGTATGTCTCCCTTGAATTATAAATTTTTGTAACTTCAAGCAACCTATCAGGATAATCCAAAGACTGATTTCTAATCTTAAACCAATAGCTAAAAGGCAAGGCTATGTGAAATATATTAGCAGAGGTAGTTCAACAGCAATTTTTAAAGAGGGGCTTTAGAGCTATTGTAATGGACCACCTATAGTCATGGGACGATTGGGTCTTTACTAAGTTACGCCTACTGAGAAAATACCACAAAGCTACATTGGCTAGGTGATAAAACTGTACAAGCAGGCCCCGAAGATTGTTGGAACTGGACAGTGTCACTTGATGTAACTGACAATAGCATGGAGTCCAAGTAAGTTAAAAAGCATCAATGATTGAAAATTAAACTGATGCCCCTGCACTCCCACTCCCAGTAGATCCCCTGCCTTGACATTACCTAATAAACATACATTGATACTCGTGTCATTTTCTGAACTCATGTAGTTATTGAACTATATTGTTGTTCTTGAACTTTGGTGTCTTTATTGAACTACACAAAAAGGAAAACCAAAAAAATGTAACATTAAAAAAGTCTCTTTTTGTATTGTAAAAGTGTGAGAATGATGATGATATTCATGGCATGAAAATCCTGCAATTTTTTATATCCTTATAAATTTTTCCCCCTAATTTTTAAGATGCGGACGCCCGAGGAAACATATTTTCAATATTACACCATTGAAACGCTTTCTAGTGTCCGTTTTCTTGGCTTTTTCTAGTTTTTTTTTCTATCAACTCTGTAGAGCGATTAAGGCAAAGCTACATACCCATCCTTTCTACGGATTTTCCCCCTGGACTCTGCATAAAGCCTTAAAAAGGTTGATGTTGATCAAAAACTTTGGCTCACGGCACTTTACCCCAGTGATAGATTCTGTTTGACTATTTACAGGATAAAAACCATGTTCTCCTTTGTTTGTGGGGCGAAGAAACAAAGAGAAAGGCAATGTGAACTTATCTTCATCATGAGCAATGAATGTTTTGACAAAATGATCGTAATTTATAGTGAAAAGTTGCAATGTAATAAGCTCTAATAATAATAATATCCTTGGTTATCGCCCGACGATTTGATTCAATACGCTTTATTTACATTTTGATTCGTTTGACTCAAACAGGAAATCCTTTCAAAACCCTTGAAGATTATAGCCCATATTCTATACAAAAAAAAAACACTTGCTTCTTGCATTTGTTTAGTTTTAATGATAGTCCAGTATGAACATCATGACGCTATGTTTCGTGACCTGTCCACGCCACTTTCGCAATTTTTGTAAACATCCCTGAGGTTTGCGACTTTTATCCCACTGATCATTTTTGCTAACTTATTAGATGACTCACTTCTATCACTGATTGAGAGACCTATACCATATTAACGTCATTTGTTTTTCTCGAGACTAAATTCTGCTGGGCTCTTTAGTTATGCGTCCCTAAAGACGCCCCGGTATGAGTTGTACCATCCGGTCGATCTCGGGAAGTTCTTGATTTTTAACGATGGAAATGCTCTTTCCTACAATAAATTGCAATTTTACTATATAGCATTAACAGATAAACACATACCTTCGGTCGTTTCATCGCAACGTCTCGACTTTTACCACTTGAAACCACGAAACAATTTCGCTCGATGAAACCATTCAAAGTTCCCGGGATAAATTTCTCGTGACGTCACGATGGCCAAGATCATCGGCCGCGCGATCCCTATAGGAGCGATTGACGAGTTCATCACCCCCCCCTGTCCACAATATTATTATAATGAGGTGTCTTTATTCAGCGGGTGTCTACAAAGCAGTTAGATTATACCTATAGCCTTATCTAATAATTGCCAGTTATAATACCAAGGTACATTGAACCACAACATATAACAGGGTCTGGAAGAGTGTTTTAATTTAAGCACAGGATGCGTAATTTTTGCCTGTCTGTTGGGAATTCGGGATTTCATACGTGTGAGCGGCAAATGCAAATCAACCAGGAACGTTAAGCGTTGTCTCCTTTCAAACCAAACTATAGAGAGTGCCTTAGCTTGTTAGTTTATGTTATGTTATTTTTTTGTTTTCGATAATAAAAGAGCAATTCAGGAGTGCGATGAAAACAATAGCGGGATGCGCGATTTCCGAGATACGAGATCAGGATCCTCCCCCACTACCCCCTTCGAGACCCTGCACAGGAAAACCACAACGTGTTTTGAGTTCAAAATAACAAAATAAATTGTGTTTGTCCGCAACACACACAAAACGCAAGATTACAAGTGTTAATTAAACCTACGGGAACAAGGATGGCAAAGATTAAAAGGGATTTGAAATGCTATTTAAAAAACAGAAACAAAACGAGTTACGCTTAACAAGCTTTGCAGAACTTAAAGTTCTTTACCTCGTAAACTGTTTCTTCGCTTTGAAAGTCCGCTCTTTCCCGAAACTCATTGCGTGTAAACCGTTTTTCTTTTATCATAGTTATGAGTTAAGCTCTTAATCACTCTTTTGAATGCTTGAAATTTCCATGCTGCATGACAAACGCCGCCAAGCTGTTTTGGGCACGTGGCGCTCGAGGGAATTCAAAACACCTTTAATTGAAAAAAGAAAGCATAGTTTCAATGAAAAATCATAACGAAATGGAGAAAAAAACATGCTTAAAACTTGTATGTATATTTGAGATGTAAACATACCTGTGTTGGCTTAATTTTTGAAAGAAAATTCTTTCAAACCTTTCGCGGGCAAAACGCGTTCAAAAAAACATCCGTCCGGCCTTTTTCCCGTCCTGCATAGCGAGTTGAGCGGACACCGCGGACGTTGAACCCAGTCCTCTTCCTACCGAAGGCCCCTCTTTTTGTAAAAACTCTTTTTGTCTCTTACTATGATTTCCCCCAGATTTTCCCACTTTTCTAAAAGTTCTCGTGCCCAGCAAATTTGTCTAAATATAGTATAGGGTGGTGTAAAGTGTAGCGTTATGTAATAAACATAAGGTGTCCAACCTAATTTTGAGGTATCCATTCTAGTCATAACTAGTCGGTCGGCTAGTCTTGTTTCCATCTCCTTCAGCTTTTAGCCGAGCGCAGGAGCCGATTACTCAAGTAATCGGCTCCTGCCGAGCGGGAGAAGCGCAGGAGACGCGCGAGGACCTACAAGAATAAACGCAAGACCAGGTAGAATTTTTTTTTTTACCTAACTAAAGGCCAAAACGTTTGATAACCTAATTTGATTTAATGAGCGATTTTTTTTTCTGGCATGTTTAATACTCTCGTTTTCAGAAACCAACCATAGAATTTTTTTTATAAATAGCAACGCCCAAAAAACGTATTATTATCGATCAAGTCTCTAACGAGCAATCCTATAAGCCTCTTACTCGACCAATTGTATCCAAAACAGCTACGAAAGTCATAACAATTATAAACGCTCTTAATTCACTACTAAGGATAAAGGCATTTTTATCTTCCATCTTTCGTGGATTTCTGAACATTTAAATCCTTTTTCATATCTTTTTTCTGTTGCAAACGGCTGTAGACATGACCTCCAGTCCTGTGAAAGGAGCGCGCCTGTACTTTTCGCTCGCTCTACGTATAGTCGGCGTAGACTGTCCTCAGTGTGTGAGAGCAAGACCCCTCAAGTTATTTGAAGCTCGAAGTCCGAAGTCGCGCCATAACACAATATAACCCTACAGTGCCTTACCAAGAGCCATAATGGCTCTTGGCCCTATAATGCCTTACAGAGTACCAGGAACCGATGGGCCATTTCCGAGTTCCAAAAGCTTTCACTGAAACGAGAAATGGCCTATTTCTATTAATCGGCTGACAGCACATACACCGCAAAGCTCTTTAGCCTGAGAGAACAGCCAATATTTGGCGACGCTTCCACTGGTTTCCCCGCCAAATGACGTCTGAGGAGCGAGCGCAGAAATTCTATACTGATGACGTGTCACTACCCAGATCTGGGTAGTCCTTCTGATTGGTCGTGCCGGCGGGTTACGTTTTGGGCCGCTAACACCTTTTAGAATAAAAACACTGATGAAATGTAGTGCAAGTTTTGGCCCAAAAACCAGCGAATTTGTTTTCGGGTACAAAAAGTACTAAGAGAAGGACCACTAGACCGGTGCGGTTAACTATAATCCTGGATTGACTATGTGCATCTGTATTGCTATTGTAACTAACCCTGGATTTGTCCTAATCGTCCCTTCGGACCAGTGAACCAAGGCGTAACTACGTAGTCTGGCTTCAAAGTAGAGCATTTGACTGGACTGAACGTCAGACGTTAGTGGCAACGCCCGACGCAAGTTTTTTGCAGCTGGCCCCTGGATAAATAAAATTTTTAATCTAACTCTGTCTTCAGACAGTTTATACAGCGAGTATTCTTACGGACGGAACTTAATTTCGTCTGCGAACCAGTGCCGAAATTCTTGTTCTGGGCCACTAGCAGTGTACCAGGGCCATGATTGGTCAGCTGTTAAAAATTTAGCCTGAGAAAACATTTGGCGACGCTACCACTGCTTTCCCCGCCAAATGACGTCTGAGAAACTAGCGCAGAAATTCCATACTGATGACACGTCACCACCCAGATCTGACTTCTGATTGGTTGAATCAAATTTCCAACGCGGCACGACCAATCAAAAGCACTACCCAGATCTGGCCTGGGTAGTGACGCGTCATCACTTTGAAATTTCTGCGCGCGTTTCTCAGACGTCATTTGGCGGGGAAACCATTGATAGCGTCGCCAAATGTCGGCTGTTTTCTCAGGCCGTTGAAAATTCGAAACGCATTTCCAGTCATCCGTTGAGTTCGCTGGGGGCCCAGAACAAGGATACCAAAACTGCTTCGCAGACGTTACTAACCGCGATTAGATCACGTCTGCGATGCAGGCCACACATAGGAGTGAGACTGGGAACCAATCTCGACCCAAGTGCTAACGCAATCTGACTATGGCAGTCATTCGCAGAAGAGTTCTGGGGTCGAGATTAGACTGGGAACTCGCTACTGGGGGGAGCCGCAAGTAGGGGGTAAAAAAGGTTGCTCTCGCAAGTGGGCAGTTTTTGAATTTTTTATGGTGGTAAAGTCACATAACAAACTGAATACTCATGTTTCACTCAGTTCCCCACCAACGCAGCAACAAGTCTCTTTTCAAAGTTAACGTTTAATTCATTTGCGCAATACGTTATATCCAGTTATAGCAAGTTTGACTACACCTTTAAGTCTGGTGTCTGCACGCAACAGTAGTATATGCCAAGAATCGAAACCACTACACGCAACACGTACCTACCTCCGTGTTTAAAATATATAAATTAAATTGAATTATTTTTTTCTTTTCAGGAATTATAACATTATGATGTCATTTTCTAAATAGTTTTTTAAACATCCGGTTTGTAGATTCACCAAAACACTGCCACTGCTTACGATTATGAGTAACTGATAAAACTTTTCAAAATTTATGATGGAACATTTTATTAAAAGAATCGCGAGTAAATGAGTGACTCCCTGTGATGTTGTATAAATGCACACATGGTTCTAACTTGAAAGTATGCGGATGAAATCCTGAAGTATGACTACTCAAAAGCGTCCTTAGTGAGTTTTTCTGGAAAATGTGATTCCAGGTAGAGGACTGAATAAGAATTTTATTAACACGGGAGAAGTGTAATCTCTGTGAAGACGTATTTTTTCTCGTCTCAGCCCCTTACCATTTTTTTTATCTGCTAACAGATGAGTGACTGATCTGCGTGTTGCGCGCGCAATGCATGATTTCTAAGAGCAATGTCAAACTGTGTTCCATGAGATGGTATGTTTGTCGTTATTTCTTCAAATTTTAGTGTAAAATAACAAATAAGTAGATTCGGTATTTTTCATATCCGGAATAATCAAAGTCGAGGTAAGTGATAACAATTACCTCACCCTCAACATTACATAGGCTTACTAGGCTGCAATTTCACAATACCGTAACAACCCAGAAAAGAGAGAAAAAAGGAGATTCTAAGCCAGAAACCTCAAGAAAGAATGCGTTTACGCAACAATTCCTTTTTTTGCAGTAAATTTAATTGGATGTTACCTATAATTTTAGAATACCATAAGCGTCAAAAGTATATGCTATTTTGAAGGCTTTTACCATTTTTCTAGTCTAAATATGAAGTACCTTTCCCGCTACCTCGTTAAATTGAAACTACCCATGTATTCCAAACTAGAACTGCTAATATATATGTAATCCGTACCTATTTTAAGTAAAGCGCGCACTTCGATTGGTTAAATAATCATTAAATATTGCTTAGGAACTCTCGCTCAGCCGCTTTGCGTTTTGTCGTCGAATAATATTAGCTAATATTCTGGTTTCAGTTTCAGAGACTAAAGTAGCGGCAAACAAGCAAAATTAATGTAGGATACCTCCGAAAAAGGTCTTCAATCTTTTGGATAGGAAAAAATGTACATCACTGATCAGTCAGAAAAAGTTACGTTACGTCTAGAATGCCCGCGCATGGGAACCATTACAGTTGCATATGTTGGGACTTTATATGCCAGGTGAAGTACTTTAGCCGTATATTTACGTTAGCGAATGGACATTAAAAATTAAGATTCACGTTTACGGCAAACGTCAGATTCAAGTTGAGAATTTCTGAGAATGAAAAATAAGCAGATAAAACTGTCCAGAACAATTTTTATGGAGAAAACTGGCTTGAAACTACTTATTCTTGGGTAGAGGTAATAAACAGTAAACGACAATTAAGGGGAAAACTTGGTCACGTGGTACAGATTCACGTTTGCCATTTGGCGTAAACATGAGTCTGAATCTCTATATTGAGTGCGATATTCCGGCAATAGTTTATTCTATGCGTTCGTTCAATATTTGCTACTGATTCACGTCTGTTTGTTGACTTGTCCTTAGATCTCCTTCTCAATGATTAGTACACTGTGGAAGAGGCTCTAACAAACTGAGGAGATCCCTGTTTCGTCGTCTGCAAAGAGAATAATTTGCAGGATTTTAGACGTATAACAAACGAGACCCCCTCATGTATTCATAGTAGTATTCTTCAAATAGAAGGTGGATTTGAGATTTCTATCGCGGCAGATTGCTGACTAACAGTCGATGGAAATGGAAAGAGTTGCTTCTAATTGATTCACTGAAAAGCCGCTAGTACGTAGAGACCTTTAGGGACCGGTCATTATTTATCGCCGGGGGGGGGGGGGGGGGGGGGNGACGGGGTTTTACTAGATTCCGGGGTCGGCGGGGGGGGGGGGGGGGGGGGGGGGGGGGGGGTGCGGGGGAGGGTTGTAAGGGGGAGTTCTTGATTATTAGGAGGACAAGAGGGGGGAGCGGGCGTAACTGAGAACCGAAAAGGCGGGATCACTGAAAACTTTGAAAGGATTCAGAGGGGGTGGAAGCACTCAAATTTGCTTGGAAAACGAAGACATGGCGGGGGGGATCGCGGAAGTCGTCAAAAGTTATTAGGGGGGTTCACTTTAGTGAAGTAACATTCAAAGGGGAATCGGCTAAATTTCACCTTCTTTAGCTTAAAATCCTCGGTTCCTCCCCCCTCCAGCAACGATAAATAATGACCGGTCCCCTAGTCTCGAGGATGAGGACGATTACGGGCACGAGATTTGACTTTAAGTTTTTTTTTCGAGTGTTCTAAAAAATAAACACTCGCGGCGAAAAGATTCCGTTTACTTTTTACTCCCAAAAGTTAACACGGTTTTTTTATGCCCTCTCCCGATCGCAAAATGATAACACTTCTAACATTTGATAACTTGAGACATTTTCGCTAGAACCAGCGTTTTCCCACCAAAATGATGTTGGTTCACGCGAACTCACTAGCCAAGTATTGAGAAAATCTCGTTGTCGCGGTCGTCCTCGTGTTAAAATCTAAAGGTCTCTAGTATTATATAGCAAAATATAACCGCACTATTTTGCGATTTTCATCAAAAATGTATTTGTCTTTGATATTCACTTACACTGGCTGCACCATCCTCCATCTCACTGACGGCTTTAAGACTTTGGTACTTCTGTTTAAACCAAGAATAAACTTTACTTAGCCTCTACAACAAATACGGCAAGAAATAAAGCTTGTGTAAGACGGTTCGGGTCCTTATACTACTACATGAGAAATTTCTGCAATTTGATTGGCTTAGAGTAGTGGTATTTCAGCTTAATTTGAAATACCTACATGTGAAAATTACAGCCTTTTGCCAGCAGTAGTATAAACAAATAATAGCATGATTTGTACGTGATATTTGGCATAAATACCACTCGTGACATTTCCAAACTGTCTAACGGCTCGTGAAATTACGTATAACAATTTTGAAATATCACTCATGGTATTTATGCCAAATATCACTACTAATCATGCTATTACCTATACTAACACAGCTATATAAGTATCTACAAGTTACCCGTGCCTATTCCCGCCCATCCTGGAAGTTTGATTTGGAGGCCAATTTCCTCCCCGCCCCCTCCCCGCCTTAATCAAATAATGTCTATGACTTACTTTAGATAAAATCGGACGTCTGAAATACTCCCATGATCTAAACAGAGGAAAAAAAGGCAGAAAGCAGGAAGGAATGAATACAATATGCCACTTAGAGAAGGTGGGGTAGGGTTGGAGAGAAAGAAGAGCGGGGGTGGGGGTGGGGCTCCAGCAGAGTGACTAAACTTTAGGTATTCAATGAGCAGATAACACTGTTCACTTGACGAATGAAACACTATTTAATAGATAAACATTGACAATTGTCTGAAACCTAGAAACATGTAAGCATGATAGGAGTATATTAGCAGAACCATGGTAAGAAAGTTAGGCCTATTTTGGCACATGACACAACCTGACATCCCGCTCATATCGACAATCAAAGCTTTTGTTTCTTAGATTAATAGTAACGGCAGCTTAGTAACAAACCTTTTTGCCGCGGATCGCACGCGGGTGGTGACTTCTCGTGTCTTTAGCGTCACTCCAAATATATCTTCATGATACCGTCCAGCGCTCTGAAAAACACGTTAGACTTGTTATGCAAAACGCTCTCTTTTTCAAATCTGTGTTCTCTTTTTCATATATGTGGTTTAACCACCAAAGTAACTGTAATAGTTTTCGTAATTACATTAATTTATTCTTGGCAGGGGAATTACTGCGGGCTCGTTACAGTCCCATCTTCCCACTAAAGATAGAAGACCACACCACAGGCCGGGCTAAAGGACCCATCCACCTTTTGAATAGCCGTGTGGGTTCTTTTACGTGCACTTCCAATTGACGAGGAAGGATGAAGGATTCAAGGCCAACTGCTTAACGTCACCGTCCAATGAAGTAACCATCTGAACCCAAACAAAATCAAATGATACTCATTTGCTCTATCAGGGTTCATGCAAAAAATTGTAACCTTTTTTAGGGACTTTTCAAGGACTTCTGAAGGCCCACATTAGATTTTTAGAGGATCACCTACTAGGAATGTGACTTCACAGATTGTACAAAAATGCACATTCCCATTCTATTCTAAAAAGGCTTTAAGGCTTGAACTGTTTGCTTCACCAACTTCTCTACATTTTTCAGCTCACTTGTCTTAAATTGATAGTTAATTATTGTGCACTTAATGTAAATAACCTTTAAAATCTCTGAGCCATGATTAATATTTGTCTTGGTCAACCAAAAAGCTTCAAAAAACACTTTCCAGGCCACTACATTCAAAGTTGAAAAAAATTCAAGGACTTTTCACGGACTTGCACTGAAATTCAAAGACTTTTCAAGGACTTCCCCTAAAATTCAAAGGACTTTTCAAGACTGTGCGAGCCCTGGGACTATCCTCGTGACCTATGAGTTTTATCATGCAAGGAGAAATTGGGCTGTACTTGTTCAACAATACCTTCCATTTGTCAATTGTCTCTTGAGCCTCTTGGTGAGACATGGCAGCGTATTCTTGAAGGAGTGCCTACAAACGTAATTGGATCTCTCTATTAACGGTCTTGGAAGAGCTAGCCTGCGAATACTGCAATCTCTCTTCGCTCCACGCCACTAGAAACGTTTAACAGAAACGTTCTGCGAAACCTCTCTAACGGCGAGGAGCGAGGAGAAACGGTTGTATTCGCAGACAGAAGAGATGGGCTTTTAAGAAAACTCTCTAAAAAGACTATTATTAATGGTCTGGCCGGCCATTTTTGACTTCAGGTGAGTGCACGTAGTTGAGGACCAGGCCAAACTTTGATAAAACGGCCGAGAGAAATTGGAAATCAGCTGTGTAATGTAAGGTAGTAGTTGTTACCGACCAAACATTATCCGAGATGGAAGCCACTGCACACAATTGGAGCCAAGCGCAGGAAACGACCAAGATACTACTATATTTTTTTTTAGTTTGGGATTGGTTGAGAAGGTGGCGCCAAACTTAAGCCAATCACATTATCAGAGATCGCAGCCACTGCAAACAATTGAATCCACGCGCGTGAAAACACCTTCGACCAAGACATTACTAGACTTTTTTTTTTGTTTGTGATTGGTTGAGAGGGTGGCAACATACTTCATATAATCGCGTTGTGTGATTTAAATTGAAGTGAGATCGTCCACAGTTGGAAAGCTACTTCGTGATAGTTATCTCAGTAACAAAAAACGTACAAATAACTACCTGCAGGGTTTTACAGACACCGTCAGCCATTTTAACATCACCACACACGTAAAAGTGGGCTTTCTGGCTCAATAGTTGTTCACAGATGTCAAATGCCTCTTCTTTCATCACGTCTTGAACGTACTTCTGTACGTTTGAAAAAAACCCATAATTGTTAACACTGGTAAGTCACACTTATTTCAGGAAAATAATAATAAATAATAATAATGAGTCATTATTTCACCAAAAGATAAAACTACATATCTTATGTTACAATAAGAGAAGATAAAAACTATGATAAAAATATCTACGATATATGTATATATTAAAAAAGTGTATCATTACAATAAATGGAGCTTAAAAATCAACCTGTTTACAAAGGTGTTCATAAAACGCTCTGTATTAATTTTTGGGCGTACGCAGCCTTTTTTCCTAAGATTATGTACATACGTCTTCTGGACAGGAATGATATCTTTTAGTGGGTGGCAATCCGTTGATATTAATTTCTTTAAAATGTTTTGGTCTTGTTTATTTAAAAGATTCTTGATAAAAACTGGAAATGAAATAAAACGGCGTTTATGGCATCGGTCTAAAAAATTTTGTATAACCGTAAGATCGGATTCCGATGCCTCATAGACTGAAAGCGCATAGCTAAAATTAGGTAAAACAATAGATATAAAAAGGTGATCTATCTCTGCCTGAGAATAGTGTTCCTTTCTTATTGTTCGTAGGACGTGTAAACACTTGTTTGCCTTGACAAGCTTGGTTCTTACATGCTCATTGAATTTCCCGTCACTCTGTAGAGTTACTCCTAGTAAAACGAAGCTATTACATTGAGGAATATTGCACTGGAAAGTGGTCTTTACTACAGGTTTGAAGCTATTACAGGAAAGTTTCGATAAGTTTTCCTTTTATTTCGTATAACTCTAAGAAAAGTTTTCCCAAGTGGAAATATAATCAAGAGGTCGTGCGTGTATAGCCTGAGAATCAGACCTCCCTGAGACGTTAGAAAAGAGGACAGGTCGGAGGGTCCCCAATAAGGTTCTTCAATCCCGCAATCCCGACCCAAAATTTGTGCAATCCCACCTTGCACGCATACTTTCAATACCGAAACTCGCCCCGATTTTGCTTTCCAATCGCGAATACCGAGCTTCAAATAACGGAAAACAGGGGTCCCGAAAAACCTATTTGGGACCCCCATGTGTCTGTCTCCCCTTTTCGGTTCTCTCTTCCTCCTTTTCCCCAGAAACGCCTGATTTGACTCAGGCTATGCGTGTGACTTTTGCCAGGTTAAAATAGTCCCTCGATTCTTCTTTTCCCTGGTTTCTTCCTACGCGTTAGAGATTGGAAAGATTGGAGAAGGAAGTTTTTAGCGTTGATCGACTTAGCTGAAGAGCGAAAATTGGATAATGGTGGTGAAGATGACGACGATGGTGATGATGATGATGATGATATGATGACAACATGGTTTTCGAGCACATTAGTCTGAGATTGGGTATAAAAACAGAAATATCTTAGCTTTGGCCAGAGAGATGATATCATTTTGCAACAATCTACCTGGACCAGTAAAGTGTTGACGAGGAATCAAACTGCGGACTTCCGGGATGGGATATTGGTGTCTAGCCCAGGACAGGGTTGCAAAAACATATCTGAACAGGGTCTAACTAAGGCTACGGGTTATAGAGGTCGTCCAGCCAAAAATGGTCGTTAGTGTATCAACGGATAACCGCGCCATGACCCTTACCTTTGGCTGCTGGGGTTCTCGTGAAAGAGCTAGGAAAACCTGTGTCAACGCGCCGTCATCTTTGACTTTTGCCAACTCATCCTTGTAGATGAAGTCTTGTTTTGAATTTCTACATCCAAAAAAAAGAACCATCGTTCCCCATCTGTTAGATGAAGGGTTTAATGAATTACCGCTAAATGCAGGAGAGGACACGCGGCGCCGTGGTAAGGGGCTTGAGTCTGGTGTAACATCGTGGGTTTTTGCTTTCGGAGCAGGTTTGTTGATGACGTCAAACTGACGTTGTTGCCAAAAGCTGCGAAATGGAGCGATACCCGTCCCAGGTCCCACCATGATGATTGGAACTGTGCCGTCTTCAGGCATATGGAAAGTTTTCGCTCTATAAAACAAATAAACAAAGACTGAACCAAAGAACAGAGAGAACAAACAGTACAAAAAAAGTGATTTTGAAGAGTTTAAGTATCTGAATGGCAAGACAATGATCCTCAAAGCGTAATACTTGATTGTTATTATTGGCAGATCTAGGGTACGGGGTTCGGGGGCCCGCACCCCACTTTATTTTTAGGCCGAATTGACACCCACAGGACTGAGAAAAGTAGGCCATTTCCGAATTGCGCCAAGCCGTTGTTTCAAAGCGAAACCAAGTGAAAAAAACTCATTATTTTAATTGTACTCACTATCTGTCTTCTTATTGGCTAAGAGCCTACGGCTAATTTTGGAAATCAGGGCAGCCTACAGATTAGTTAGTTATCTGCTAGCAGATAACTGACTAATCTGTAGGTTGCGTGCGCAATGCATCATTTCCAATAACAATATCAATTCAGGTTCCTTGCGACGGTGTGTTTGTCGTTACCTTCTTCAAAACAATGTATCATAAAACAATTTTTAGACTCGGTTTTTGTGATATCCTAAATAATCAAGGTCTGGTAAGTGTTATCAGCCTCGGCCGTCGGCTCGCCTGATAACACTGACCTGGACCTTAATAATTGTTTATTAACACGAGCAAGATTTTCTTAAGCCTCGTTTTGAAAGTGTGGGTTTTTGGAACTCGGAAATGGCTTATTGTTTTCGAGGCTGCTCCCCCCTCTGCCCTTTTTCTTAGGGTCTAGACGATGCCCTCCACTTACTCGAGGATCTCAGAATCCGCCACTGAGTTACAATGAGTGGCTACCAGGGCGTTAACAAGATTATTCCCGGTAACATCGACTGGAGTTTGGACACGCTGAACGGAATTATACTTACACGTCGTGTTGTCAATTGAAGTCTCGAATATCGTGAACCTTTTTAAGTCGGACATGCTCAGGCCCGCTTGTCCTTCTATGACTGGCGGTTTATTATTGTGTGGGGTCTAGTCACAGGCAAGAAACCTAGAGACTCCCTCTCACTAGCTGTCCATCTAAGGGTGAGGCTATACGCCACTTCCACATTTCCCATAATGCACCTTATTTGCTCCCCCAAATTTTGCATAACCTTTGTTTTTCATTTCTCCTGGGTATTACAGCCGTCCCAAGAGAAATCGAAAACAATGCTTAAGCAAAATTTTGGGGGGCAAATAAGGTGCATTATGGGAAATGTGGAAGTGGCGCATGGGGAAACCAGATTCTGACTGATGTTAAATCCAACAAGATGCAGCCAATGTGAGTACTTGCTTTCGTTTTCCCCTCTCTGATTTGACAAAGAACACAACAGCAAATACCTGCTTGTGTTTTGACGTGTCACCAGGAGTTATTTTACATCATTTTTTATTCCTGAGCCTCCCTTTCTCGCGCCACTTTGGCCCCTTGGGGCCAGTACAGTATTGACTGTAAACACATTTTCGTCATTCATCAGACACAACTGAGTTTAACATGAATTGACTACTTACTGTCTTACGTAACAGGGTACTTCATCTCCCGCTGTCAAGCCGTTCAACCAGGTTGAGCAGACACCGTGATGCATGGGTCCCTTACCTCCTGAAATGGAGTAAAAACAACAGCATTCACCAAAACGATTGCGTAGATTGCAGTTGTTGCCCTACAAAATCCCACCCGCGCTCATCTTTGGAACTTGCGTAATCATCCTTAAAACTTTCTATATAACTTCGTGAAATTTTGCTTGAAAGTAAAAAAAAAAAAAAGTTTAAAGAAGAATTGTTTGGTAACAGAAGCATTAGTTACACCCAGAGAGTCCAGAAAGTTGGGTACCTCTTCGTTTCGTCTGAGCGAGTTGCCCCATTACACTGGCAATAGAGAAAACAACAACAGCACCTTTATTATGACCAGTGCCAAGAAACGCATTGCTATACAGTTAACTGCTTACCTCTTTTAACATATTGAACAACTGCTACAGTGAGATGAACTTCACCAGGAAAGAGGTCTGGGGACGATGAGATAGAGTAAAAACGCTGTTGATAGGAAAATAATTGTTTGTCACGTGCTGTGCGCAAGTACAATCTTGCTCTGAAGAAGGGGCAAGTGCGCACTTAAACTATTTTTAACTAACACTATGTGACTTTCAACACGCTCTGCTCATTTGCAATAGGGACAAACGTTCGGGGGGTAACAATAGCCCTCCACGTTCAGTTTTTGCAAAGTCGACCGGTGAAGATTAAAGAACGTTTAGCAAGAAACGGTTTCGTTGTAGACGTCAAGTGACCATAAACTGCAATAAACCCGCGCGTTACAACAGGGAAGATTGTAGCTGTACGATACTAAGAGCCAGTTTTCACACACGAAGCAAAAATACGCGAAATAACATCCCTAGCCCCAATAACGTTTTACTAATGCCATAAATGACCTAATAAACGCCCACATCCAAAAAACGTCTCCTATCTAATAAACAGTCCCTGTATAATAGACGCCCCTTATAAAAACTACCCAAAAATACCAGGAATTGGCAAAAAGGAGCAAATTTATTCCATTCATTCAGTTCCTTGCTTGATTAACAAGGCTTTGTGTATTTCATCTTGTTTTAATGCCAATTTTTCAGTAAGGATAGACTACCGATGGCAACACAATAACCCTGAGTGAGGATTCTGACATCGTTTTTGGGATTCGAAAGAGCGATATGATCTCTAGGCAGCCAATTGATGGAATGGATATTCCGCTGTTTTTAAACACTCTTGATATTTTCGCTGAAAACATATTAGTTTCGTTGAGCTTGTTACGGGAGAATAAAATGAGAATAAACGCCTCCTATCCAATAACGCTCCCGCTTGACTCCTAAAATTAAATGGACGCCCTAGGCGTAAATTAGGTTATTTACGGTACGTACCTGATGTAAAACCAAAATTTACTTAAGGATGTAAAGATGTACGTTTCAGTTTGCGAACGTCACTTCAGTTTATTTTGCAGTCCAATCCGAAAACCTGCCCTCAAAACATTTTTTAGCTACAAAATTCTTGATGTTGTTGCGCACTAGTAATATGCTGTGTGATTAACATCCTTACCGGCTGTAACAGCGGTAGCTGTGTAAGTAAAAGATCAGCAGATACTTGAACAGAAGGAAAATCTTGAAGGACGTCAAGAATGTTGCATTCGTTTTCGAACTTCCAGTCTTCGTACCGGTTATTGCCCTGAGTGAAGAAAGACATTACGAAAAAAAAAAAAAAGACGTTTAGTCAATTTATAATTGGCCAACCCCTTTTCCAAAAACTTTGTGTTAGGGCTTTCTTTAAGGACCGGGCGCCGGGGATTCTCCCTGGCTACTGTGAACATTACCCACCGGCTACTTTGAGAGGAAACAAAAGGAAGATGGAACATACAAAACCCAGGGGGACTCCCGTAAAAAAGTGACGGTGACGATCGGCGGAAAATTCCAATTAAACCCCTATGGGAGACCAACGTGTGGCTCAAGCTTAAACTGAACTCTAAGGGAGATTTCTGTGCGGTCAGTGTCAGGGCATTTTTTGTAAATTTCTTTATGCACAGTCCTAACCCATACCTGAATAGGCACATAAAGTGACTTTCCATCTCAAACACTCTAAGTGTGTCCAAAATTTGCTATTTACACCCCAAGGCGAGACGACGAGCATCCCCGTCACGTTTATATGGGAGTCCCCCCCGGGATATAGAACTTCCCAGCTGTTCAATTTCTGGCTTACTAATTGGTTACACCCGGCAAATTGAAATCTTTGCGTCAGCCCATACTCTTAAAGATCAGCTACCAACGTAAAATTTAGTGTACAAAAGTCTCACCTCACTGAGGACTTCCAGCTTATCTTTATCCTCTTTGTCTGCGGCCTAGAAAATTACATAAGTATTCGGATTGCTTTTTTAGCAGATAAAAAATGACAACGTAAGCTTTGAATAAAACAAAAAAGGACTGATAAAAACTTGCATTAGTGGCTCAACGCTTTTAAGCTTTAATGAATAGGCACAAAAAAACTATATTCTGGGGCTTAAATATGTATTCTACCAGAAGGCTCTGTACTTCGGTGAGTTGGTGATTTTGAAAGAAGGGAGAGGGGGGGGGGGGGGTTGTGACAGAAACGGGGTAGTTTCTTTGACCACTGTGACCTTAACCCTTGAGCTGTCAGCTTGCTCGCAGGCTAAAAAAGAAGCGAACCTTAGTAGGAGAAAGAACCACGTCGACTTCCCGAAAATCCAAACAAAACAGTGTCGAAACTTCTTCCTCTGTACAAAAACGAAAAATTACAACTGAACAAACGTTCAAGGATAAGATGTGACATCCATTCTCACCCTTTAGCAACTGTTTTCCACCGAATTGCCCTCCTGGAACTTAACTCCCAAGCGTATTTCTGACAGTGTACTCCCTTCTCAGCAGTTTTTGTTGGGCTATTCTGCACGTGTATTCTAACCTCAACTATGACGCTGAGGGAGAGGAAATCTATTGAGCAACTTGGCAATTCTTTGCCCTCTCACTGATCTCTGATCCCGATTGAGAGTAGTCTAAAACCCTGATTCTACTAATCCCTAGTAAGAAAAGAAGAAATTTACCTTCAAGGCAAGGAATTTAATGAACTGAGGAGATGGGACGGTTGTAATATCAAGGTAACGAGTCAACGCCTCTCGCACTGTGATCGGCGAAGGAAGGCGGTTGAATTGCTCCCATTTCTTGGCTGTACCAACAAGACCTGGCAAGAAAATCACACCAAATATATGACGAGGCCCATTCCATGTTTTGCACCATAAACTGATGTATTTTTCCTGTACTTGCCTTCCACATAACAGGAAATTAATGTATAACAAGCTAACTTTGAGGCAGTAGGCCTTGTCAACTGTATCTACGTCACCAGTGCCAGCCAACAACGACAACGATTTTAGGAGAATTTTGTTTTTATAATCCAGGGTGCAAAGAAAGTCAGTTTTACAGCCTGCCATTCGGGCAAGCTGTAGCTAGCATGTACTAGCCCACAAGTCATTTCCACTAGCCCCCAAACCCTTTTTGATTAGCAGGATTGATTACAATCTTTCTGTAAGTTAAATTTCCCCAAAAAACAGCACTTGCCCGTCGGGCAAGTTAAGAACAAAAATCACTAGCCCGATAGCAAAATCCACTAGCCCCGGGCTATCGGACACAACTTTCTTTTAACGCTGTAATCTGTATAATTTTAAATCCTATCTTGAAATTTAACTCTTGTCTTGTACATAACACGACCCACAAGCGTGTCTAAATAGAGGTTTTGACGATGATGATGATATGACTATGATAAAGATAGCGATCATGAAAACGACAATGACTGTAATACTAATTAAGAATATGATGATTATAATGATTATGATGATGATAACGCCGACGATAAAAGCGGTAATTTTAATGGAGACGATAATAAAGACCACGATTTTGATCACGATGAAGGAGGAGCGTTGAGAGACGACTCAAATGAGAATGGCTGTGTAGTAGACTAGAATATCACTGATTATGATAAAAAAAATGTTGAAAAAGACAATAACTATAATGACAATAAAAATACAGTTGAACCTCTACAACGGCCACCTTGGGGACAGAAAAAAGTGACCATTTTAGAGAGGTGGCCGTTATTGGAGATCAGTCGACTGTATTCACGTTGATGACCATGATAATGATCATGATCATACTAAAAGGGAGCTCAGACTTGTGACCTGCAACTTACCTTTGATTTCACGCAAGACCTCGACAGCAACTGGTAAATCTGGATCGACGTCACCAGACAGTCTGTCAATCAAACCTTGCACCAATTCAGGGCGATTAGCGGGAAAAATGGCCAAGTGATCACCAGGTTTGTATTGCAGCTCACTGTTCTTCTCTTTCTTGAGCCGGACTAAGATAGTAGAACGACTAAAATGAAGAAAAGAACAGAGGGTTGCCATGGCATGTCTACGAAACTCCCTCACAACATTTTCTTCAATTTTGAAGGAAAGACAGGTGTTAAAATGACTGCGTAAGTGCCTTGAAATGAATAGTGTATTGTACAATTATTATTGCACAACGAGTTCAGAAATCTTCGACTACAAAAACACCGTTTATATTCACCAGCATCTAATGGTGTGACTTTTAATGGTTATTTACATTAATGGCTTATTACTGAATATTTACTTTAACTGACCTTGAATCGGAGGACTGCAAGTTTTTCACCGATAATAAAGTCGCACGCCTCACTGGTTTCCCACAAATGTGTGACAAACCTACAAAGCACACGGAAAAAGCTAACAAATTTTAACTAAAACTTATTTTGGTTGACTCATTACGCACCTAATATTCAAAGTAACACAGAAAAGGATGTATTTCTGTAGAGGTCAAACGCCTATAAGAAAGGTTGACCACGGTATATTGCCCCATAGACCCTTCGAGGAGGCATAACCCTACAAAGTCGCGGAATTTTACAGACGCTTGTATGGTGGGTGGCAAGTTCGAGCCTTCAGCCATACAAACGTATGTCAAATTTCGCGACTTTGGTAAATTTCTTGATGACTCTATCAAGCAGTGTAGATGGATATTCACTTACTGGTTTTTATCAAAACTTAAAAAAAAAAAAAAAACGGTGGATCTCTCCTTAATAAACTTTGGTTAAGCTCGGTCTAATAACTTGAGACAAATCTTGTACAATTAATACCTTGATCTAGTCGATTTCCTTCATTATCTGCTAAAGAGCTTACAGTAAGCCGAAAACGGCCTGGTATCCAGCCACTTGATACACTATCTAGTGAACTTGACACCTCCTTGGAGATTTCATCCTGACTGATATAGAATGAATCACAAGCGGCCTAGGACACGGAAAAAATAACCAACAATTCTATTTAAAATTAGAGTGTCAAACGGTCAGTTTATTTCCTGGTTGCTAAGTGCTAAGGCAAGTAGCTTCAAGAGTGGATCGTCTCCTGGGAAAGAGCCAGCGAGCGTCGCACGCCCGTACGTTGAGTGAGGCGAGAGAAAAAAGCCCTGTATTTTAGCCTTTCTCTTTAGTCTCCGCTCGCTCCAGACATTTCGTTTGATGACTTGGAAAATTCCTCACCGATGCAAAAAAATAAATGCGGCTGTTTTGCAGACTATTTAATTCATAATATTCAAACTTCGCACACTGCAAAAGATAGGCCATTTGTACGATGACCTCATATTACTATCGGTTTCTCGCGCAAATTAGGGCTTTTGTTATTTATACCCCGCTTGGATTACCAAATTTAAATATGTAAGGTAAAACAAAAAGGATTCTGGTCCTGGTAGAAGAATGACGCCATCGTGCAAATGGCCTATTCTGCCCGCTCATTGGCTGACTAGGGGTGCGGTACAGGCTTATATAAACGCAAGATTTTGAAACTTTAATTCCTTTCCCCCAGATACCGGTGAAATTCAGAGATGACTACCTGAAACACGTCCTTAGCCCACACTTTAAACGACTCCTCTTGACCACAAAGCTCGTCTCCTTCCCCCATTCTCAACACTGGTTCGCCGCCAAGTTCCCGGATGATCTTGTCGAGGGAGCGAGCGAACGCACAGAAGTTTGGGTAAGCTTTGGAACCAAGGCCGAACACAGAATATCTAAAATTCGGAGAGTTACACAGTTTAGTGAGAATACAAGGTCTGTGGTTCATACTTCGTCCGTAATCTAAAGCAATAAGAGGTACTATTCTTTTGGAAAACACTTATTCGTTCAGTCAACTAATAGAAAAGCCCTTATTATGTGGCTGGTTCTACGAGCGGTATAGACGAAGCGAATCCTGTGTTCTGATTGGACACCCGAGCAGCCAAGATGGGCTTACCTTGTCCGATCGGGATTTCCCGCTTTGGTACCCCAAGAAAAATGATCTCTTGGCAATATGAATGAATTCTTTCGTTACCAAGTTTGTTTGGTCAACATGGATAAATATTGGCATTTTCTTTTTTTGCGTTTTTATTGACCTCGACGAACTTGGCCACTATTTAGCCATCTCGACCTAACGCTTAGTCAATAGCGCATATTTCTATCACTGATACAATGGAGAATAACATGGGTACCAATTAAAGGATCTCCAAATTTAATGAATTAAATTCTTTAACTTTGAATGAAAGGGTAAAAGACAAGAAACAAAGAGCTTTTAAAGGTGCAAGTTTAACAGATAAAGTTAAATTACAGACTGAAAGAATTAAAAAGTATAAGGATGGATTTCCACTGTGGCGTAATTTTTAGGAGAATAAATAAAAAAAGAGGCAATGTATGAAAGGTCCGGTGTGAACGTAAAAGTTGAACCTCACTCAGCGACTCTTTATACATTGCCTCTATTTTATTTAAGCGCGTAAGATTAACGTGCGCACGTACGTAAGAATTACGCGACAAGGGAAATCCACCTTAACAGCGCAACATGAGTAAAACATCAAGGTCATTTAGTTGTAAGGAATTTTATAGCATCAAAGCATGTAATATTACCTAAGATTAGCCAGAGGTTGGCTGTCATTCTTAATCTCAATGTGCCTTTCTTTCTCCTTTTGAACCAACAGGCTACCCAGTTGTGTTAGCTTGTTACGTGCTGATCGACTTCTGAAACCAATAGAACGTTATAATTTACGAAGATATTCGTGAACAGCTGTGTTAGCACTCCGTTTTGTATGCGCTTTTAAGTTTTTTACCTTTCTTTCTCGTGAAAAGCAGTGCAGACTAGTGGAGACACGGTCGATAGAAGGGACAAGGTTGGTGGAATGCCCTGGTTAGAGAGAGGGTGACTACAATGATAACAGCTAACCATATAATCATTTATTTACCAAATCAAAACGTTTTCAAGGATAGAGTGAATAGCTTGACACGCAAAAAAAAAAGAAAAGAAAAGAAAGAAAGAAAGAAAGGGTTACTCAAGTAGTAGGAACTAATTATAGTTTGCATTTTATGGGCTTTAACACACAAAAAAGTAAAGTAAGAACGAAACGTACCCTTCCGGTGGGTGCCGGAGTTCGTACAGGTACCGAGCAAATCCCTAAGGAGAAAAAAGGCGCAGAGACATGGTAACACGCAACCTGCGAACAGACCCTCCTGAATCGCGTTAAACCTTTGAAGTCGCCGAGGCTCGAGCTTCTGGACTGGTCAATCTTGCTCTCTGTCGTCAGACTGCAATCTCGTTCCCAGAGTCCGCGTTACCCTTGTCCAGCGAAACAGGCAACGGGGACCGTTTCGCTGGACAAGGGTAACGCGGACTCTGAGAACGAGATTGGTTAGACTGGTTTTCCTAGTATGAGCATCCTTTTTTATTGATAATCCGATGGTTATAACTGAGCCCGCAGTACCAAGCGCGCGGCTATTAGGTCTGGGTTCGAAACTGTATCCCATCAAGAAGCAGCGATCTTAGTTGATTCATGCAGAGTCTTTCTCGAGTGCGCTAAAATCGAGAAAAAGCTTCATGAAAAATACGCGACTTTCTCTCTTTGCCGGTGTGTTACATACAGGTAAAGCTTAATTTCCCTTTACGAATAGTCACTCTCAGAAAAAGGGAAATAGCTGCAATGGACAAATGAGAAAATGACCCAAGTTCCTTAAGGCTATCCTGAGTAAGGCCAACCACATGGACAGGAGAATTCACGATCAGATAAACGCAAAAGAGATATCTAAAACTCGTAGGGGTTATTTTCAACATTGTATTTTTCGAGAGAATTTTAACGACTCCGGTTCGACGGGCGTCAGTAGTAAAGAAAAAATACTAAAGGACGGAATTCTACTGTCCAGTGAGGGAAGAGGGAAGAGTGGGAGGGGAAGGATGTTCATAATTGACTAGTACTGAGTCACCTCTCCGTTTTCAGGAGGATCTCCGTTACCAAAGGTACTTGTCACAATAAGAACAAGCTGTTCATTTTCCATGTCTGGATACGTGTAGTCCTGCATGCAGATAACCTAGCGGCAATCAATCATATAATTAGTTCACTACAAGAACTAGACCTACAAACCTTAAACAACGTTTGTGAACTATAGTTTAGTTATGTTTATGACTTTAAATAACGTCTAAAAGTAATTCGTCCTTTCATGCACTAGGCGCGCGACACCTGAAGAGTAAGCTTACTACCCTGCAATCACGGGACGATAAAATGGATTTGCACAAATTTGCTCCACATTTTGCCACATTTGCCTAGTTATTTACAACCCCCGTTTTTTGGCCGTATGAAAATGTGGCATTTACAATCTATGCCATATATTTACTCCTCAGTATTTACCTATTTGCGACATATTTGTAAGAAGCCATTTTGTGCATATTACTTAGTGCATATTAACTACTTAGCCTTTTCCAGGGGTTTAGAGAATGGAGTGCGGCGCGAAGTCAGAGAGAGGTATTAAAAAAAGGAAAAGAGGGAGAGGGAGAGAGGAGGAAACGTTCACATCTCTTTACACCGTTTCCACAATCTAAACGCATGGAACACGCTATAATTGGCCATTTGCATGATGACATATTTTACTACTACGACCAGAATCCTTCAGGGTTTTGCTTTCTTGTGCAAATTAAGTCTTTTGTTATTTAAACCTCTCTGGGATTACCAAATTTAAAAATGAAAGAAAAAACGAAAAGGACTCTGGTCGTAGTAGTAAAATGACGCCCTAGTGCAAATGGCCTATTACGGAGTCCAAGGGTAAAATCCTGCGGCAGCCCCCAACCAAATAAAAGCTACTAATAAGAACTTCGTTGTCAAGAAATTCTTTGGGCCGAGCTTTTAAAAGCCCGAGTATCAGGCCTTTTGGAGGTCAGGGGAGAGAAGATTTTAGAGGACAAGGCGTGGGGGAGAGGAAACAGGTCGTATTCGGTGCTATCCTTCTTGGCATTGATTATAATAAACCACGTTTAGATACAAGGACTGCGATTGGCCATAGTGAAAATAACTGCATGAGGAAGAAGTGATCGTGGTTTAGAATATCGCTCATCAAACTCTGTACAATTAAATCATAGCCTTTGTTTGAGCGGGAATTTTTTAAAATATCTTTTTCTTTCATTTAAAGAATGGGAGCTTTTGGAAGTGAAAATTGGCGATAGATTCATTGATGGCTTCTTACCTTTGGATCAAAAGCGTGTGAGAAGAGCTCTCCAAGCATCTTAGCGTAGCGCTCGGATTTGCCAGTTTCTGTCGCGTAAAGGATAACAGCTTTCTGTCTCTTGGCCATTGCTTTGGTCATCAGCTTCGCGGAGAATTTAACTGCCCTATACATAGAGACAAAACAACACTTAAAATCATTAGTATATAAAAACGCTCTTGCCTTTGTTGGAAAGGAAAAAGAGGTCTTTATCGCTGCCACTGAAAAGGCAAAACTGGGTACATTTCCCCAGCAAAAGCTAACAAAGAAAGCAGCACCAAAGATTATTTTCATATTTCTTTAAAACTAAACGAGAGAAAGTTATCTAAGAGAACAAACACGCATGACGATTTTATAGCCTTCCCTGTAAAGGTGTTTTTTTTTTTAAATAAATGTTTGGTGGGAACAATATTATTAACCTGATCTATTATCATTGCCACTATTAACTCCTCCAATACCCGCCTCGAGGCAATCCAATAATAACATCATATTAACTGACAAGCGAGAAAGAAGAGAGAATGACCTAAGAGAGCGAATTCCCGTGCCCCATGATAATTATTTGAAATCTATTTAAAGTTCGCGTGCGTGGGGCGAGGGTTATTATTGTCTGCTATTTCCGTGACCCGCGCGATCTACTTACACGTGAACGCGACACGCTTAGCTCATTTTCTCTTGTTACTGACTATCGATTCTTGATCCCCATGTTTTCATACCCTATTAAATAGCTGCAACTGGAAGCAGTGACGTCCGATTTTTCAGGTGTATAGTACTGAGCACACGGCAACCGATATTTTCTTTCCAAAAGTAAAATGATAATAAAGAAAATAAAACTCTCACTTTGCAACTTCTTTAAAAGAAGCTTTCTTTTTCGGAGATGTTTGGTGTTTCTCAAATGAATAATGATTCCATGCACTATCCTACAAAAGCAAAATAATGCATTAAAACAAACAAACAAACAAACTAACTAACTAAACAGAAAAATCCAGATAGCCAGTGGACACCTCTAGTGTACTGGCGGTTAACTGTATAGCTTGTTCCAGTGCAGCGCAGGCGAAAATTTGAAGAGGGGAAAAAACGAGGGGAAACTAGGGCGATCCCCCAGTCTCCCCGCGTTTTCCTTTTTTCTTTTGCGCTCATCATCTAGTTCGCTCGTCACCATATGAAAGCCTGAAACAGGCAATCCACTTTAATAAACAACAGTGAATGTTACTACCCATGAATATCACATTTACAATTTGAAACCAACGAAAGAGGTTTGCCGGTAACATAAAATTCAAAGTCGGAGGTAATTGCTTGCGATCCAGCAACCACAAGTGAGCTATGCAATCACAGTAACGGTGCACAAGTAGTTCCGTCGTCCTTGTAACAACACCAGTACCAAAAACACGTACCTGATATTCATAACTAGGCTTTAAAGAGTAATTCAGCATTTCCTGCGAGGAACAAACAAAACCAGCATCATTCGTTATTAAATCATGCGGCTCCCTTGTTTTTACTAACTTCCAACGTTACGTGAAAAGCATGCAGTTCTTTTCGAGTATTATACAAGGCTCAAAATAACGGACAGCGGGTCGCCGGTCATGATGACCGGCCAAATATTTTTTAGCCCGGACAAACCCCGATTTTGGCCGGTCAAATAAATAAATTTTTTTTTTGACCTATGGAATATCGAATTACACTGGCAATAGATCGTTGTACTGCCTTGATGTTAAGGTTTTTGGCGGCAAGTTGGTAAAAAATTCATTCACATGTTGTTGAGTTCCTTTCCGTGATTTCACCTGTTTTCATGTCCGTTTATATACCTTGAGTATCATTGTACGACAGTGCCTGAAGTCTCCAAGGTTCGTCCTAAATTTGCATATCGGTGAAACTTGATCCTTTTCGTTGCCCGGCACGTGATCGAAAGTCTCCTCCACAAAGAAGAAACGTCACTAAATATTTCCGGCAAAGAAGTTGACTTGGCGAGAAATTTGTTCCGCAAACAGCGTATTTGACATCAAAAGTCAATAAATATACAGCAGAGCTTTCGTTTGGGTCGTCGCGCAACACTTTATCGCGAGGGGCTTATTAACGTCAACAGAAATTTGGATAAAGCTGTTTCCAAGAAGGAGGATTTTAAGCGCCAAGATAGGCGACGTTCGTTCTCGATTAGCTTTATAGTTTTTATCAGACAATTCTGGAATCGGGTCTGCAAACAAGATTCATGTTCGACATAAAGAAATTACTATAATTATTAATCGATGCACTGAAATTTATTCCCGGAGAAACAGTACAGGACGAGCGATCGATTAGCCCGAATTCCGTCGAAGGTGATTTTCACAATCCTCTTACAAGTAAATGTGAAACGTTTGATGGACAAAAACTGTTAGCTATCCTTTAGTTTTCTAACAAATAACGGATTATCGTTTGTGTATGTTTTCCCAATGAAGGTCACATTACTGATCACAGCAAGGCAGAACGCACAGTACCGACCTGCTGCATCGTTGCGTTACTCCACAACTCAGTTTGTTGTTGTTTCGCTTTGTTGCGTTTCACTACGACATGAAATTTATTACGGCGTTCTTTTTCTTTTTTTTTAGTGCAAAGCAGCAAAAAAAGCCAAAGAAAAAAGAAATCATTTTAGCGTTATAGAGCAAAACGCATTAGGCGACAACTATATGGAAAATATTACAAAATGCTTGCATCCAAAAATGACCGGCAAGACCAAAGTTTGACCGGTCAAGCCCACGATCAGGCCGGACATTGTCCGTTGACCGGCCGTTATTTTGAGCCCTGAGTATATGAGAATTGTGTAATCCTTCTTTCTTGATGTTCAGTCTTAAAGACAAACGAAAGCGTTTAAAGAAGATCAGGGGCGGATCCAGGATTTTTTTTAGGAGGGGGTGCGCTCGTCTCTTGCTCTACTTCAACACCAATAAACCACTTATATATATATTTTTTTGCAGAATACCAGTTGTATTAGAAAACCGCAGGTCATCTCAGGGGGGGGGGGTGCCTACCCCCTGCACCCTCCCCCTAGATCCGCCCCTGAAGATTTCGCAAACTAAGCCAATCTACTGAAAACATAAAAGAATTGTCTAATGACAACATACCTTAATTCCGAAAATAAGCCCCGGGGCTTATAGTTTTCAAAGGCCCTTTTGGAGGGGCTTATATCGGAGGGACATTTGCGTTACAAAATCGGCTAGGCTTATACTTGGAGGGAAATTTTTGTCTCAAAATAAATTTATGTCAGTAATTTACCCGAAGTTTTCACTGAAATTCGCCTTGAGGAGGTAGATCTTTCTAAAATCAGCCATGCAAACATAAAACTCAACCGCAAATTCAGTCCTTTAATAATTGAAAACGCAATACTCAGCTCACAGGTAAGGTAACGTCAATAATAAGGGATGGTACCCTGTTCCCTCGAAAAAATGAATCTTACCAAAAAAGCAACCGCAAATTACTTTAGTGAAAATGCAATACTCAGTTTAAAAAAAAAAAGTGTTACTGTACCGTTTTTGCCTTGTTTCATTTTGTATTTTAGGGCAATTTGCAAGTATAAGCCCCCGGGGGCTTATATTCGGAGGGGCGATTTAACGGAGGATTTTTTGAGTTCCGATTTTTTTTGGGGGGGAGGGAGGGCTTATATTTGGAGATGTTTATTTTCGGAATTTTACCATATTCCAAAAATTGTCAAAGATCACTTTATAGACTAACCTGATGAAAAACAGAAGTGGCGCTGCCTGACATAGGAGGTACAATCCACACCCAGTCTCCAGGACAGCCCCCGCGGAATTTCATCTATCCAGGCAAACATTAAATACTTAATGACCGGTCCCCAGGGAAACAGTTGATTTTGTTTCCCGACTTTCTCAATGTATCCCGAGGCGGAGTCGAGGGAAACATTAAGGTTCGATGGAAACAAAATTAACTGTTTCCCAAAGGACCAGTCTTTAAGTGATTTGTTAAATAGCTGAAAATTTTGAAGCTGGAAATTAACTAAACCTCGGTCGTCTTTGTTAACAGTGGAGTTACCCTCTCACGTCATAGATTTTGCAGCGTTGCCCGCTGGCGAGAGTTGCGAGATTTTGGCGGGAAACAGTTTCATTGTTAGATGTCATCTGACCTCGAAGTTAATGAGTAACCAATAAGAGCGTGCGCTGTTGGGAAACAATTTCCAGCTATATAACAATATCATTTAGTGTTTATTGCACATAAATTATTTCAAACAACATAGAGTGAATCTTTTACTATTACAAGCCGTTTTACAACCGCACGTGAAAGATATGACCCTAACCCTATAGCGATGCGAAGTGATCTACCGTGTTAAATATGAACACTGCGATCATGGTTACGTGAGAAGAACAGCTACACCTCTAGGGCCTTCTAGTGCCAGATTGAAAGAGCACCAAGAAAATACATCATACAGTCGCTGATTAAAGGTCCATAAAGCGGCAGTAAGTTGTAGTAAAATGTAAGCATACAGGCAACAAACCTCATTCGCAAAATGCTTCAGGAAAGACTCCGAGGCGCTGTGATGATCAGTGATGGTCACTCCAGCTTTCTAAAAGATAACAGTAAAGGAGCACATATTACAATTTTCAATGCTGTACCAGATTTCCAGAAACTACCAAATTTCAGTTATTAAACAATTAAAAAAACTTCTGTGATTGAAAGAGCAACCTCCTTCTCAGGGTCCTCTCTCGTTCGTCCCCTCTCTCGCTTCTGGGGACGAGTAGGAGTGGACCCTGGGAACGAGGTTGGTGAAAGAATTCTGGACGACGCACGTCAACAGGAAGTGAGGCCTTTTCCGTTTTAATATACGGTACCTTGACACTACCAAACGTGTCTTGCTAAGCATCGTTACTCTTACTGAGGCGAATTGCCAGAAAATCTGGGAAAAATTGCTGCCCAGTAATGCAAAAGGGCCAATTTCGGTTGACGCGCGTCGCTCAAAAACGTCCTTGCATTACTTCCCTAATTTTTAAAGGGCAAAAAACAGAATTTCGACCTTACCCTCAAAAATGAGGGCAACCCCGGCACTTGCTCTAGATATGCAAGACTACTAGACTGAGATTTCTGTGAGCGAAAAATATAAGCTGACGAAACGTGGAAATTCTTAAGTTCGAAATCATAATAATATCTTCAGTTAGTTTTATGTGCTAAGAGTGCCACCTTGTTGACAATTTATTTTGGGTAGGGTTTCTTGCAGGCCCGTAAGCTTCCAAACGGTTTACTTTTGTTGATCATTCTAAGATTCTGGGAAGCTGGCTATCTACTCCTCTCTCAGCCCAACATTTTGTCCTGAGTAAGAAGTTAGTTTTGATGTTGGTTTTGAAGAGGGGTAGGTGGGTAGTTTCTAAGGCTCTTATACTGATATTTTTGGGGATACATTGGTTCACAAGCGAGCTCAGGGTCGAACTTATGACTATGAAACTATATTAATATATTCAGTAAATTTTATTTATAAGAAGTAATTCCTTAGTGGTATGTGTAACACCAAAGATATCCTTGGAAAGGGAAGACAAACCTGGAAACTGTACAACACTGCAAGATTAATTTCCACCAAGGCCTTGTCCTTCCAGAGAGAAGAAAAGCTCTTCGTCTCAAGTCCCATTCGTTTTGCTACAGGCTACGAAAGAAAAAAGGAAAACAAATGACAACACTGGTTACGCCTTAAGGAGAGATAGGTGACTCGTCTCCAGTCATCTCTCAGACTCCTATGAATATTAACGAGAGAAGCTAGTCAAGGGGAGCGCGATGGGTGACAGGAAGGAGGAAATTTTCTCTTCCCATCACCTTCCACGTGCCATTCGATCACGCGCTTACGTGTTTCGCGTTCCTCCCTCCGCGTGCGATTTAAATAGAGACGATTGAGGACAAGTAAGGAGGGTTTAACACTAAGGAATAGACCTACTACTTACCTAACTAGTATGCTCACAACGGTAACCCACCTCTAACATATTGTATCGCATGGGATCTGCAAAGTCGCGTGCACCAATTTCTGTCACCATGTACCTGAGCAGAAAAAGACTTATAAGCTCAGTTCAGCATAAAGAAAATCACAAACAAAACAAAAAAGAAAGGAAAAAGAAAGTTGAGAGTTCTCAAGTGTTATAAAGTTGATCGTGCGCTCAGGGATCAGGTGTGTAGACTTCTCCTCAGGAAAAGCCCGATGCTAAGCTTAGGTATTTAACTTGAGCATAATGATCATTCTTTGAAATCAAGTTTTGACGGTAATTTGACCCAAATGCGCGTCGCTTCAGGCAATTCCTAGAGTAACGTCATCAGGCACCAATTGCCTTACGCGCGGTCAGCATTGAGAGACATGTCTCAAACGGGAAATGACATAGGGAAATGTCCGGTTAATAACTGGAGGCAGTAGTGACCTTAAGATGCACCGTTTCTGCCTACGGCTACGGGTAGGCGACCATGTTCGCCACGTAGTTGTATAAATGGCAGCAATGATTTCCCAGATATGATAATGGTGTTACCGTTCTACCCAGTAGTCTACCTGTTTCTCCGGTGTAAGGGCAATTATTTACAGCTACGCGCACGGGTAATTTACCCGTACCCGTACACGGTGAATCTTAACGTCTCTAGTATCCGGTGAGGTCACCAGTCAGGGAACTTACCATCCATTGAACGGACAGGCAGGCATTTCTACTCCTCCAACATCCAGACATAGACATGACACTGCCGGTAATGCGTACCACTTCAAACCCAGTTCTTCGAACCATGGAAACCTTATGAGAAAACAACAGGAAGAGAGAAACCTATCAACGAATCTCTCAATAAGTCAGTTTGAGTCATAAATTTATTCAGTCACAAAGGCTCAGTCCATCCGTCAGTCCGTCCGTCGGTCCATCCATCCATCCATCCGTCAGTCGGTGAGTCGATCGATCAATCGAATGATGAATTGGTTAAGACGAGTGCAAAATCTCTAAACGCAACTCCAACCAATTTCCAATAAAGGTTAAAAGTAGTAACATAATAGAATCTGATGACACGTTTTACCAACAGAGGATCAAAAAGGAAAAAAACGTTTCCGCTCTTAGTCTAGATATCAAATGCAGGTTGAACGACGGTCATCTGCACTGACAAACATGTTTATTTTTTGTACGGATTGGAGGAGTACGTTAGTTTAGTTCTTGGAAACTTACCGGGACAAAATTTCCAGTAACAGCCGATGGACTTTTATAATTCTCTAACAACAACAACAATGTATTTACTTAAAGATACTTAAAGAAATATCAAGTTACAATACTTTATGTCCTGCAAATAGCTATAATGCTAATCTAGGCAGAACAAGACTAAAAAGATAACATATGCCAGTATTTTACTTTTGGCTCTTACTTTGGATGTTTGATTTCCACTTCAAGTATTATTTCAGGAGGAATTTCAAAAAATTCAGGATCTCCTCCATGAGCTTGAAGAACTAACGGTAAAACGTCAAAACGGCCACCTTTGCCTTCCCAACCGAGCTTTTCACAAATCTGAAGATAAATACATAAACATGACAAAACTAAAACAGCTACACAGATTAAGTTTAAACTAATGAGAACAGCCTCAGTGTTTACAGCCAACAGAGGCTGGTAGTACATAGAGTACCAGCGCTTACAAACAACTACGTTACGATGAAATAATTGTAATGCAGAGACCACACTAACAGGTGCGCAATTTTTGGAATTTGGCCAAAGGTGATAGAGCAAGGATATCGTACAAACGCATTTTGGCATGCGCAGTAGCGTTAAAACGCGCACGATTTTTAACAGAACAAGTCCGTTTTAGTCAGACAGGATGTCAAGAACAAACTTCCGTTGAAACTTGCCATGTTCCGATGATCTCAAGTTTAAACGCTACAGATAAAAAGTCCAGCAACAAAGTAGAGAAGAATAACGACAAAACCAAAAATGGAAACTAGCTTGAAGGCTGAAAAGCCCTCAAAATTCTTTATTCAACAAAGCTTAACGACGAAAAAGATGCCGTGCCCTGTTCAAGACATAATTTTTAGCAGAAAAAAAGGACTTCTGAAACTCATAAAAGCAAAAGGAAACACTGCCGTGAAGAACTTTTCGAAATTGGACCCTAGAGGAAGGTAAACTACAATACCAGTTGTGGGGTGTGGCAAAAAACCTTCAAGTTGTAAAGACAAGGTTAGCAGTTTCATTTATTACCTGAGTGAACTCAATGTTAGCGGGATCTCCGATGCAAGAGCCGTCCGGCTGTTTGTAGCCAGCATACTGAATCAGCTGAGTATTCCACACACGGAAGTCCTCATGTGCAGTTTTTCTTTGTGGGAACACAGTTATGGTGGACCTGCGACAATAAAAAGTTAAAGATCAGTTATGTAACTGTTGTAACAAAGAATATAAGGTAGCAACGAGTAACAACAAGACGAGTAACAACTATTCCTATTTAGAAGTTAACTTGGCGGACCGTTCATACCAAATGTACAGTCGAAACCGTTTGTGCAGGTTCGACTGTATTTTGTCTAAGACAAAGACAATACGAGAGAGAGAACACATAGCAACAAAGTTTAAAGAAGCCATTTTGAGAAGACATAACATAATATGATCACCTTATGTTCCCTTTATTTGTTCCGTACTTGATGTGCTTACAAATCGCCTCAAACATTTCTGCAGGTGTATTCACATCTCGAGCATCAAAGAGCTACACAATAGAAAAAGTATTCGAATCAGGTGAACGACATAGAAACTCTGCATACCAAATGACCACCATGAGAAAAATTGCAGTGATCACATGAATTTTGAAGTCCTCCTTCAGATCATAACAAACATCTACTGACTGTGTTGCCTTGTTTAGTTACACTCAGGCGGGTCTAACAGGTTATTACACTCTACACAAATATAAAATTAAATGGCGCTTTATAATCTTGCATTTAACTCAACCATGGATTGAAATTCATTGGCAATTCATTAGAAAATGTATCTGTTTTCAAATTTTAGGCTAAAAAGGCTCGTGTACATAGGGGGTCTGACTGGTAAATTCAGTTTTAGCCTAACGGGATTCTTTAAAACTAGCTTTATACTGGTGGGTTCGACTGTACTGTAATAAGATTTGGCCCTCTCGTAGCGAAGGTTTACAATTTTGTCGCGCGCGTTTAGGAATATATTTATCATTTTAAATACCATTCTACTTAATAGTTAGGTTTTATAGATCCTCTGATGTATGACTACCCTTCATAGATCCCAGGTCCTTTTTAAAGCTAGGGCACTGGGTTCGAAATTACTCCAAGCAAAAGGAAAAAGAGTATATATCGCCTTTCAATATTAGAGCCGTTGTTGAAACCCGCCCTCACTAGTTACACAACTTACTCTATTTCTCTCCTGCCATCCCATCCCTGACAATTTACGGGCCTCCCCCAACCTTCGCGAAGTTCTGCGATACACGTATTTCTAGTAATACAATTATTCTATGAGGTTTTTGTGATACCCAGAACAATCAAGGTCTCGGTAAGTGTTATCAGCAACACCTACCTCAACCTTGATTATTCCGGAAATCACTAAAGTCATAAAAACCTCATCCAAAATGTTTTATTATGATAACACCAAAATAGTGAGCAGTCTGACTTGTAACTTATTCCACTGTATCCGTCCAATACACCTTGACGCGTTTCTCCAAGCCATTCTTGCGCCGAAGATCAGTTCTTTTTCCGTCAGGTCATAGGTTCCATTCCTCTCAATCTCTTTCATCACCTCAGCTAAACGCTGTTGATGGGCTTGGCTGTCCTGACTGAATTAAAAACAAAATGAGACTCGGAAAGAATCACGTGAACCCTCACTTTTGATTTAGTGGTATTCTCGGGACCCGGGATTAGACTGATATACCGTGCGGGATTCGGGATACGGGATTTGACTGCTACTCAGGAAGCAATACTGTACTCTTTCCTGTTGGGGAGCAAGGGAGCAAGGGAGCAAGGGAGCAAGGGTGGTGCAGTGGTGAGGGTACTCTCCTCTAATCAAGGTGGCCTGGGTCCCGAGTCCCGAGTTGACCTCGACGCCATATGTGGCTTGTCCACCTTTCTCTTTGCTTTATCAGTCGAATGGTTCAACTACAAATTCTTTACTTAATCCTACGGTTAAAAGCTAGAATACCATGTCTGGCGCGAGAATTAAATTTGACTCTCAGTCTCGAAAAGATCAACGGTCTGTCCCTTTGTAAAGTGTATCAAGTACCACCTTCAGCAAAAGCAAAGGGGCATGATAGAGAAAAGGGTAGAAGAGAAGGTGCATACAATGCTTACAGTTTCATAGCTCCATAATACTGTTGCAGAAAGTCCTTAGCTTGGATCATGACTTCTTCTGGTTCCCTTGGCACACCATAAGACCTCTTAGATGGGGCCTCTCCACCGGAGGGCTGCATCAAGGAACCTACACAACGACCCGAGGTGCAATGCACTGGCTGAAGAGAAACGTTAGAGTGTTACACAGAGATCGGCACACTATAGGGTTTTTGCGAGCAAGTGGTAAAAAATTATCAAATACAGTTTACCAAGCGCCAAGTTTCAAATGATCTTATTGAATAAGCCGTATATTTAACAATTATTCCTTGAGCCGTAATGGGCTCTGACCCAATAGCCCTTGAGGCGGAAGGCCGAATGGGCTATTGACTCAGAGACCATGAGGGCGAGAGGAATAATTGTTTTAGTAAAATCCAACTAGTTGGTCAAAAATATCGAGAATAAAAAAATTTTAGCTGGTCAAAGCTAGACTTTAATCCTTTCTTGCCGCCAAAAAGCTCGCGCTTTTCGCTACTAGTTGGCTATAACATATAGCCTAGTAGTAGCTCAACCAATCAGAACGCAGCATTGATAATAGACCACTAGTTGGATTTTACTAATACGGAATATCGCTTGTTTAAGAATAAATGCAGTGGCGGATCCAGGGGAGGGGCCCGCCCCCCTTATTTTTGGACCAAACTGAGGCCCGAAGGGCCGAAAAAATTTTTTTAAGAGACCACCCTGCCCCCCCCCCCACCTTATCTAAGGGTCTGGATTGACCAAACTGAGGCCCGAAGGGCCGAAAAAATTTTTTTAAGAGACCACCCTGCCCCCCCCCCCCCCCCCCCTCCTGTGCTGGATGACAGGGCCCCCCCCCTACCTCAAGCTCTCGCTCCCACCCCGAAACGCCACCCGCTCACCGTGCAAAACGGCGAACCGAACGAAAGCTAGAATTATGTCGCGCGCCAATTTGATACAAGGGGCAAGATCTCAGACTATGCTCTACCACACTGAACGAAACATTTTTAATAGACCACAAGTTTTATTTTATTAAAACGGGAAATCGCTTGTTTAAAAATAAAAGCAGTGGGGGAGCCCGGGGGGGGGCCCGCCCCCCTTTTTTTTGGACCCAAATGAGGCCCGAAGGGCCCAAAAAATTTTTTTAAAAGACCCCCCTGCCCCCCCCCCCCACCTTATCTAAGGGTCTGGATGACAGGGCCCCCCCTTTATCTCAAGGTCTGGATCCGACACTGAAATGCATTGTGATAAATGTGCAAAAATGCGAACAGGATGAATGCTTTGATTCAGCTGCTCCTTAGTTTAGTACAAAGGGCAATATCTCAGATACTTGGTATTGCCCTTTTTAAGTTATTCCGGAAGACGAATAATCCAGCGCACCATACCGGCTATTCTCGCTCCCACCCACTAACAACTGCTTTAAAAAAAACATAAACAAACTGCACGCTTAAAAACGTCGAAATTGTGTTCACCCAAAGCATGGTAAATCGCGTGGAGACTACAATTTCACTCTCTAACTACAATGTTGCTGAGCATTGAGCATTGGAAAGCGCAAACTTGAAACTCGATATCTTCCAAAATTTATATCCAGGCCAGCTCGTTCGTTAAACTAATTAGAAACGAAATCAATGGTGAAATTATTGCACACATGCAAATGGTTATAATTCTTTGTGAGCTTAAGTTAATTGTCATTTATAAGCAACTTTGTGAATAATTTAATCTGGAATGGCTGTGTTTTGCATGCATGACGCCCAGAATTAGTCAAAATAGCATCGATATATTTTTTTCTTAGGCCACGTTTATTACGAACATAGCGCCGAAGTTGCATAATTTTCCATTTTAACGAGGGGTCAAGGGTCACGCCCGTATTTTGAACTTAAATATTTAGGGGAAAAACCAGAAAGCGATGTCACTTTTTTACACGTGCTTTTTTTTCTCTTTCAACTAAAGATGTTTTTTCGTGATTCAAACGTGGGCATTGGTGAGAGACGAGTGCTTTTTGGTGTATTGGTATCTTCCTTTTAATAGTATTGGGAATGTGACTAAAGGAAGGTTACCAATATAAATGGAAGATACCAGACTAAGTTTCTTACCAGTTGCGAGTTTTAACCTATTACTTTTCATTTGAACTGTTTCAATGGCGAGAAGGGTAAGTTTTTGCTACTTTTATTATATCTCTATCCAACTTACAATTATGGCCTTTTGATGAAGGGTATCGGTCGTGTAATTGCCGTCAACGAGGTTTTGGAGCTTGACGTATTTTTGCTGCTGCGGCTTCACTGTTCCATTTGCAACTGGACATGTTTGGACGCCAATTGACTCTCTGCATACTTTGCTTTCGTTGTAGGGAATTTCCTGCTCCACTTTTTTGCAATTTGTTGATGATTCTTCGTGGCGTTGTAGCTGTTCTTTTTCGTGCCGTTCTTTTTCTGAAATTCCATTTGAACGCAACTCCTCTGATGTCGACTCACGAGTTTCTCCATTGACGTTCCCGTTCATGCTTATACCATTGGGCGGCGTTTTAGGTCTTGTAGTTCGAACAGTCTTTACAACCCCGTTCTCGTCGAACGCTGTTTCCAAATGCGCATGGAACCCATCCCGCGCACAAATTTTTAATGTCAATGTCTCCCCGGTCGGAATGTTGTCAAGAATCTGCAACGCCGTGAGATAGGGCACGTTTTCCAAAGATTTTCCATTCACTTCAAGAATAATGTCACCAGCTTCTATAAAACCCGTTTCGTGAGCTACGCCACCTTTTACAACGTGCGATACGGCTAGATACGGGCTAAAATTGCGTTTAACCGCCAAAAAGCCGACACCACCTGTTTTGCGCTTAACAATGTTGACTGTTATCTTACCGTCGGTTGACCCATCGTCCAT